GGGTGTATTTCTTGCCACCAACGCTTGGAGTCTCAACAGGTCCAAATAAATCCATGTGAATCAGATTTAGAGGACTTGTAGAAAGATCTCCAGCAATGGGTTTGAAGGAATTCTTTACTTGTTTTCCTTTCTGACATGCACTGCAGAGGGTCTCTCTCTTGTACACGATGTCTGGTAGCCCTTCTACAATGTGTTCTCTTGCTAGTTTGTTGATTGTTTTGAAATTCAAATGGTTGAGCTTTTTGTGCCAGTCCCAGCTCAGTTTTGAATCTCCCTTGGCTATTAGGCAAACTCCATCTTTTGCAGTGTTCCAATCAACTACATAGATGTTCTTTTTCCTTGATGCTGTAAGAACTACTTCCTTTGTTGTCTCATGCTTCACATAGCAGAAGTCCTTTGTGAATTCAACAGTGTAGCCTTTGTCACAGAACTGGCTAGCACTCAGCAAGTTGAACTTCAGTCCTTTGACATATGAGATATCATCAATGGTGATCTGGTTCTTGATCAGCTTTCCTCTTCCTTTTGTTTGACCTTCTTTGTCATTACCTCCAAAGGTAACTCTGGGTCCTTTGCATTTCTGGAACTCTGTTAGGCAACTTCTGTCACCTGTCATGTGCCTGGAGCATCCACTATCAATAAACCATTCTTGTTTAGAGATAGCTCCAGCACACAGTTCCTGCAAGATCAAAAGAAGGATTTAGGTACCCAAGCAATGCTGGGTCCTGGGGGGTCATGGAGTCTGGGTAGTTGGTACCATTTTGGTCTCATCAAGTGAAACCTTGGTGGGTGGTACCCATTGTCCACCTGGTAGTTGTAGTAGACAGAAGTGTGATTCACTTTGGGCAGATGCTTGTGAGGGTCATGCTTCCTGTTTACATACTTTTGCATAGCTTTCTTTGTTGGAAAGAAGTCCCATATACTATCAAGAGCAGAGGGACGGTTAACTTTGGGCTTCTGAAGTTGACCAGCCAACCTCTTCTGCCTGAAGTTAACTCTCTCTTGATATTTGCCCTTCTGGTGATCACTTCTGGCACGATTGACATGAGGTTGTCTGTCAATAAATGGTCTTTTATTTTTGTTATTCTGAAAACCTCTTCTGTTGTTAGGTTTTCTGCCAGGTTCATTATTTTTCAAAAAGGGTTTCTGGTGAACCTTTATCTTACCCTTTTCTGGTCTGACTTCCTCATGAACAACCTTGGTGCCAGATACACCAGCTTGACAGATGGGGCTAGAAATCAGTGGCTCTATGACCTTATCTGCCTTAGCAACTCTGGTGCTAGGCATTTCAGAAGGCTCACCTGATTCTGTTGAGCCATAACCAAGACCAAAACCAGTGCCAATCTGTTGATCAAGCACAATCTTTTCCATTGAAGACTGGGCCTTCTGGTAAGCTTTGTACTTAATCTCGAGAGGCTCTATTTCTCTTATTCTCTTAAGAAGAGAAACATTTTCAGTCTCCAGTTGATCTCTTTCCTCAATTAGAAGATTGATTTTGATCTCAACCTCCTTCTTTAAGTCAAGAATTTCAGCTTTTAACTTACTGTTTTCTTCTGTTACAGAGGAATAAGTGGCTTGTATGGTCTTAAACTCTTCCCAAAATTCTGACATTGACTCAGAATCAAAAGCTAAGCCTACCGAAGAAAAACTAGATTCAGAAGTAGAGGTTACCTCATCATCAGAATGAGCCATGAGGCAAAGGTCTTCTGTCTCAGTATTCAAGCAACAGAAGGCCTCACCAGAATCTGAGTCAGAACTGGATTCTGTTTCTGACAGAGGGTCTTTCTCCACTTGTTCTGTCACAAGTGCCTTCCTCCTTCTGGGGCTGTCCTCGTACTTCTTCTTTTCTCCATCCTGTCCTTGCTTCTTGGACACTCTAGGATGGGGACAATCAGCCTTGAAGTGACCAGGTTGTCTGCAGTTGTAACAGAGAAGCTCTCCACTGCTTTCTGTTGATTTGACCTTCTGGTATGGCTTTCTGTTGAAAGATGGACTCCTTCCATCTTTGGGATTCTTCATAAACTTTTTGAATCTCCTGGCAAAGGCAGCCATATATTCATCAGATAAAAGTACTGAAGGGTCAAAATCATTTACCTTAGATGTGCTGGCAGTGAGGGCTGTAGTGGTCCTCTCTTCTGGTACGTCTTCCTTTTCTTCAATCATTTCAAACTCATGAGCTTTGAGATCTGAAATGAGCTTATCAGTGGGATAAGTCTTCACATCTTTGCTGGCTTGGACAGCAACTACCTTCATCTTCCATGCTGAGGGCAGTCCCCTCAACACCTTCAGGTTGATTTCCTTGGTTGTGAGATCCTTGCCAAGCTCAGAGATCTCTCCAGTGAGAGTGAGGAGCCTGTCATACATCTTGGAGATGCTTTCACCAGGGAGAAGTTTGAAGTCATCAAACTTCTTGTTGGCTATGGTAAGTTTGTTGTCCTTCTCTTGCTCATCACCAGCTCCAATGAGTTCAAGAGTGTCCCAGATCTCCTTAGCAGTCTTGCACTTCTTGATTCTGTTGAAGTACCTATCATCAATGGACTTGTAGAGGATGTCCTTGGCAATATTGTCTAGGTTGTACTTTCTCCTCTCTTCAGTGGTCCATTCTGACTTGGCTTTGCTGATCATCTGGGGTCTGGTGTTGTCTATGGCATGTTCAGGATTGACCTTCTGGAAGCTAGTGAAGGGGCCAATGTCCAGAACCTCCCACATCTCATCATGCAGGGCACAGAGATGTGCTTTCATCCGGATCCTCCAGTCATCAAATTTAAGATCTGAAAACATAAGATTCTTGGACAAGGAGTGATCCATCATATCAGATAGAAATGAGGTAAAACAGAAAGACAAGTGGATCTTTGTTCAACAAATAACCTAAGAGATTATTAGAACAAGGAGGCTCTGATACCACTTGTTGGTCCCGGTTATACTGGATACAGTCTAGAGGGGGGGGGGGTGAATAGACTGTATCGGTTTTTTGTTTTTTTTGAGTAAGTACCAGATTTTCAGAATAGCCTGTTCTGTTGAAAGAACAGACTGGCAGCAGATGGGGTTCTGGCAGGGAGTTCTGTTAGCCTCAGAGAAGCAAAGGCAGAAGGCCTTCTGTTAACTCGTAGAACCAGTTCTGCTGAACACAGATACCAAGTCCAAGGAGTTATACAGTTCTATCTAAGTGCAAGTATTAAAAGCAGTAAGTAAACGACACCAGGGATTTTTATAGTGGTTCAAGGAACAACTCGTTCCTCTAATCCACTGTTCCACTAAGTTGTAAAAACTGCCGTTTACAAAGCCTTAGTCCTAGCACTTAAGAAGCACTCCACGTCTTCTTCTAGTCTAGATGTGTCCTGGGATGCACTGCCTGGCTTCCTTTAACACTGGTCCTTTCACTGAGTCTCCTTGAAGTATCACCACTTCACTACTCCAGTTATTTGGACGTCCTTCTTGTAGCAAGAAGAGTTTCTGTTGAAACTGAGGTTCCTCCAACTAGCTTCGTTACAAAATATGTGTAGGTGAGGAGCTTGAAGAGTTGAAGAACACTTGGAACTTTGCTTGAGTTGGAAAGAGTATTTTTCCAACTTCTGCCTTCTCTTGTAGAGGATAATAAGTTTGAATCTCAAGGAGGCTTTTGCTTTTCAGAGTTTGAATATCTTGTTTGGTTAGCAATGTGGTTGCAGAATTATGGCAAAGTTATTCGGTTGTTCTTCGTAGTGTATCTTTTATACTGAGGTTGTCTTCCCGTTGGAGGAGTAGAAGGACAACTGCATTAAATGAGCGATCAGTTGACTTGACTAGTAGAGCCCGGTAAGGTTGGCGGGTTACTATTTTGGGATAAAGTATTCCTGACATTTCGGCCAATCATCTGCAATTACTCTACGTAGCATGGGGTGCATTAAATGAGCATTTAATGCATGCACTGTAGCTTTTCCGTTTTATACTCCTAGCCGTTGAAGGACTCTTTAAGTTGACTTCCTGGTTCTTTGAAAATCTTCTAAGTGTCAGACCTTCTGGTGTCTTTATCATGGAGTATAAAAGAGGAGGTCTGGAGCACTTCTGTTGGGAGTAGCCAACAGAGACCCAGAAGGGTTTCTGTCAGAGTCAATACTAACAGAGGTCCAGAGGACTTCTGTTCTGGAGCAGAGAACCAAGGGTCCTCTGTTCCAACAAAGCCTTAAGAGGCACTTCTGCTCTGGGAGCCCTTCTGTTCTTGAAGCACTTCTGTCAAGTCGAATACATCTAAGAATTTTTACAAAGGAAAATTCTAATACATCATTTCTAAAGGGGTACTTCTAAAGTCCTAATGGATATAGCATCATCAAAATCTAAATACAATTATTCCTTACAACCCCACTTATTAATGCCAAAAAAGTTATAGTTCTCATGGCTCTTCCACACGTGGCAGGCTTCAAGTTTTGATAAAAGTAATATATAGCCTACCATCATTAATAGCTTTCCGTCTTCTTAGAGTTTTTTTTACTTGTTTATTTGTGAGTAGGTGGAAGTAAAGAGGACAGTACCTAGGGAGGACATGCCACTTAGAGGAGGCTCTAAAACAAAGAAAATATTTATTGGTGGTATTCCACTCTCTTTAAATGAAGGTAAATGATGCATATGTCTGTATCTGTTTTTTGTCTTGAAGTTAATTATGGTCATACTGTATATATATTAACAAACTTAAGTTATTTTAGATGGATTGAAGGAATATTTGTCATCATATTTATTTTATCATGAATCTAACGTGAGTGTTGCTTTTATGTAGAGGTTTATTGGTATGAAGCTTTATTCCAATTTGAGTGCTTTAGGTTGGCTCTTTTTTGTATGTTTTTAACTAATGGTTTTGATGTAGAGTTTTGTTAAATCTGAAGCTTTATTCCAAATATATATTGACAACTTCAGTTGGAGCTCTTTCTTTGTGGTACATATAATGCATCTCTTTAGTCAACAAAAGTTCTCTCATATCTTATTTTTACATAGCTTTATTGGTACATATTGAATCGGTTTGGCTCTGTCACTCCTTTGTGTCACTGGGGACCACTCAACACCCGTCGAATATGGGGACCACAGCTTTGAACCTGTCCCGTTCTCATTATGTAGTCTGAAGGACTTTGTGGGTGCTGTTGGGGGAGAGGCAGTCCTGTCAGAAACCTCACTGGATCCATTTCCCCTTCCAGTGAACAATGACGGTAAAGACATTTTGACTGCTGATTTGGGAGTAGAAAGGAGAAAGAAGGGCAAGGGTTTTAGTGGGGACTCGGTAGCAGAGTTCAATGAAATAGCAGCAGCAAGAGGTTGCCTTGGACGGTTCTCTGGGAGTGAGATGATGGGAGTTATAAACACATATCTTAAGCTAAAAGCATAATTTCAAGATTGCATGGAATTATGGAGTTATGGTTTAACCAGAAACAAGGCAGCTTTCAAACATCTTATGGAAGAATACTATAAAGTATGAGAAAGGAGTACACAGGGGCTGATACCACATTGTACATGATGTACCCATTTCTGAGAGCTGTTCAAATTATTGTTTGTAGGAATAAGTAGTAATTATAAAAAAAACACAATATTTCCCTGTTTAAGAATGAAAAAAGCTTGGTCACTCTATCACTTGTATTCCGAGAGGGTGTGAGGTGATTCTACAAGTTGGTGATGATAGTAGATGCCTTCTAGAAAGTGAAGACTTGTTGGAATCATGGATTAGTTGCAAGTGTAACTTATTTGGTAATGTTTTGTATTTTCTCTTATGATTTTCATATATTGGGTTGTAGAAGTGAACCCAATGAGACTTGAAATAGAACTACATGATGCGGAGACTTTAAATAATGTGTACTGTCTGTATTTTAAGGCTAAGTATAAATAAAAAGAGAGATTAATAGTCGTAAATATATATATATATATATATATATATATATATATATATATATATATATATATATATTAAAATCGATGTATTTTGTGTATGTTTTCATGATACTACAGTGTCATAACACTGTGATACCATAGTGTCACTAAAGTATATGATGTAAAAGTGTCGCCTAATAGCTATGTTGCCAATGTGTCACTATATTGTGATGTCTTAGTGTCACAATTCTGTGACACTTGTAGTGACACTAAAAAAGTGTCACTTGTAGTGTCACTAGCCCCCACTTTCAGCGACACTTTTTTAGTGTCACAGAAACTTTCAGTGACACTAATTTGGTGTCACTGTAAGGCTTTTTTCTACTAGTGTGGGACCCCTCTCTGATCTTATCAGAATGTTTCCTCATTTTCTCTCTGAAGAAGAAGTAGTCCTCAAATGGACAGGAACAGAAGACGTGGAAAAATGTCTAGACAAAGACTTTCTTCTATCTGTTTTAGCAGAAAAGAAGAAAAATCTCAAAGGGAAATCCATTTCCTCAACCTTGCCAGCAGAAGAACCTATTGCACCCCTCTCTGAGCAAGAACGAGAAGCCTTTGATGCTTGGGCAATGGATAAAGCATTGAAAGAATCTCTGGACCCCCGCAATCAACAGAAAGGTCAAGAAGGAGGACCTTCTGATTCTGAAGCTGTTCTGGCACAGCTGATTGCAGAATGAAGAAGAGCCCAATCAAGCACTGTTGAGCTAATCATTCCTACACCTCCACCCTCCCCCCAACATACTCATATCTCCCCTCCTTCACCAAAGCAACCCTCACCCCAACTCCCAACACCCCACATCACTCCACCTCAATCCCCCCTTCAACAAAAATCTCCTAGACCACAACAGAATACCACTCCCCAATAGAGCCCCTCCACCAACAGAAACCCAACTCCCAATTCAACCCCCTCAAAGAAGGAACCCCCCTCCAAGGAGAAACCCCATTAGAAAAATCCAAACACTCCTCACCCTGCAAACCAACTCAATCCAACAGAAACCACTCTCCTTCACCTCCTCCATCCCCGCAACAACAGAGAACCCAACCTCAACTCCACCAGAATACTCCTTCACCTCAACCCTCTCAACGTCATACCAAATCTGCCTCTCCCCCACAACAAGTTCTGAACCAAAATCAAAATGCAACTCTTCAGGATCAGGACCCTTCAACTGTCTCCACTGTTCCTGCACCTCCTGGTTACTCAAGGGATTCTACTGCCTCTAATCCCTCTTTTCACAAGAAAATGCGTGTGGTCAGAAACACCATACCAATCTATTCATCCTATGAGGACTCCTCTAGCATGGGTGGGTTCATTGTTAGTAACCCAAACCAAGCTTCATCCAAAAGACAGAAGACCCCACCACTGACGCAACTTGAGCATGAAAAACAGCATGAACTTCTCTCATCTCCTCAAGAGCAAATTCCTATGCCAACAACAAGAGGACTGGGAATGTCTGCCTCTGAGAATGCAGAACAACAGATTCCATTTAATCAAATTGTTGCAGCGGCTGAAGATTTTGGCAGTCAGATGTTGGATGGCATGAATAAGCTTGTGTTGATCAATGATAAGCACTATGAGCATCTAACCCAAGTCAACACTAATCTTGAAGCTGGGTTACAACAACTCTTTGCAAAGGTTGACTCTCTAACCCAAGTCTTAACTTCCTTCATGGAATCTTCAAATGCAAAGGTAGATGCAATCTCCAAGGAAGTGGATGGTATCAACTCTGTACTTTACTTCCATTCCCAATCTCTCAACAAACAGTATGAGAAGATCAAAAATATCTATGTGGATATAGAAACCCTTCAATGGACAGATGAAAAGAACAGAGAGCAACTGCTAGACATTGAGGAGCTATGCAAATCATACAAAGAGCAAGCCTATACTCTTATCAAGAATGACAAAGAGAGATATCAAAAGATGGTTCTCCTAGAAGCAAGCAATAAGGATATCTTTTCTGCAATTCAGAAACAACAAGGGTTGATAGAAAGCCTCACTTCTGTCACACAAACCTTACCAGAAGCCCTCAAACAGATTGCTGCATCTCAGGCTTCAGAGTTTCAGAAACTCTCCATGATGATAGCTGACCTGGATGATGCCAAAAGGGGGAAGAAAATCCCCAGCTAAAAAAGAAACAACCCCCTGGATCTCAGCTGGCCCTTCTACTGGTGTTGATCCAATACCTTATTTTGAAGCTGCCATTCAGAAGAAAAGGCTGGATGGCATTTCTAGACCCTCATCTCCACCTAAAAAGACCTCTAAGAAGAAGAAGGCTTTCAATTTCAATGATTAGAGACTAGGTGGATCTCAGAGGATTAATATATCTCAATTTGAAGAAATGAAGCAAAAGACGACCATAACTCAGCAGCAGAACCTCTATCTCAACAATAATGGGTATGTGAAAGTAAGACATGGTGGATCATTAGAAGAAGCAGAATATTGGTTCAAGAAGAATGTCCTCTCAGGGAAATATATTCACGAAGGTATTCTGAACTACCTAAACTGCAAACTTGCTCCCACTTGGGCTTCTTGCTAAAGCCCTAGAAACCTTAGTGGAATAAGAGAAGAAGTTAATAATGAGCTAAAAAGGCTTCAAGGACTGGAAGATGAAGCTATGGCCGCAGCTGCTAGGGAGAATGTGTAAAGGAACAAATTTGTAATATATCCTTAATAAAATCACATCTCTGCCTTTCATATTGTAAGGCAATTTCTCCCTATCTATCTCTTATTGTTTACTTTTATGTTTGTTTTTTGTGTGCTTCGATTTATTATGCTACCTTTTTTTGGATAAACTGTAAATATATATATATATATATATCCAAAGTGTTTATGTACGGCTGTACAACATATATTACAAAAAAGAGGTCATCCCAAGCAAGGATACCCCGTCACCTCCAAAAATAAAAAACTCTCACATCTAGCTAAGCAAGTGTGCTAACCATCACAAAACGGTGACGAAACAGCAAAAGATCATAATGTTATCCTATCAATTGGATACATGTAGTACAGAATCTTATACACCATAAACTTGATATGCTTGACCATATCTACTGAAGTAGTCTTCACTTTCTCAAGACAAATCATATTCCTCATGCGCCAAATCCAATAGACGGTGTATCAAAAAGATAGCCTCACTGCTTTGGCTTTGACATTTGCTCCATGCTGCTCCTTTTTTATCCATTTAACTGCACTCGAAAGTGTAGTCATACGTCTAGCTAGTCCAAGCCAATCCCGGATCAAGTTCCAAACCTGTTTTGTAAATGTACAATCAAAATATAGGTGTGACACCGTTTCCAGGGCACCCTTACAAAACTGGCATACGTTAACTACATCAAGAAACCCCAAGCAATCATACGTGTCTAACCTTCCACGGAAGGCAAGCCAAGTAATGAACGAGAATTTGGGGGGTATATAACTCTTCCAAATGAAGGACATCCAAGGGTGGATAGTACCTTTGATTCTAAGCAATTCATATATTTTTGAAGAAGAGAGTTTCCCATTTTGGGACCAATTCCCCATGTAAGTCACGGCCACGTCTAGAGAAGGGAACTTTGATAAGATCAAGTCCCGGAAAGTCCCAATGGTTTTGATAAGTCGTGAATCCTTTGTGTGTGGCACAAAAGTCCACACATCTCTCCCATGGAGATAGACCTCATTCATCCATTTCACCCATAAAGAGTCTTTTTGGCATGGATATTCCAAAGATTTCGGGACAACAAGGCATAATTCCATACCTTAGCATCCCTAATCCCCAAACCCCCCTCATTTTTAGGTAAACAAACATCATTCCATGCCACTTTTGCTTGTTTATTACCCCAAAGAAACATTCTACAAAGGGAGGTAATCCTATCAATGATAGTCCTCAGAATGGGAAAAATGCCCATCCAAAAGCTTGGACACCTTGCATAACGGATGTAATCAACTCAACCTTCCCCGCATAAGAAAGAGTCTTTGAGTTCCATGCATCCAAGTAATCCGTAACCTTATCAATCAAAGGAGAGAACTGGGCTACAGATATACTTAGAGGGGCAAGTGGAATACCCAAGTATCTAACCGGGAAGGATCCTTGTTGAAACCCAACCCTTCTAGAATATACAGAATTCTACTTTCAATATTACCACCTAGAAAGATATTAGACTTATCCTGATTAACCATGAGACCAGAAGCCAACCCATAGTCATTCAAAGCCTCCTCTAATATCTTAATAGATGCGTAGGTACCTTTAGAGAACAACATCAAATCATTTGCATAAGCCAAATGCGTTATTTTAAGCTTAGAGCACAAAGGATGATAACGGAATGTAGGATCCAAGGTCCTTTTCTCTATCAGCCTTGAGAAGTACTCTAAGCAAATAACAAAAAGTAAAGGGGACATAGGATCCCCTTGTCTAAGCCCTCTCTTTCCCTCAAACCATCCATGTAGAGATCCATTGATAGATATAGAGAAAGAAGAGGTTGAGACACACTCCATAATCCATCTAACAAACAAATCAGGAATTCCAATATCCAACAACACTTTTTCAAGAAATTCCCATGATACCGTGTCATAAGCCTTCCTAAGATCAATCTTAATCATACATCTAGGTGAAAGCTTTTTCCTAGTATATCCCCTCACTAACTCTTGTGCAAGGAAGATGTTGTCAGACGTCAATCTTCCATCAACAAAAGCTCCCTGTGCAGGATTGATGATACTAG